GTGTTTTTCAACCTTTTTTCAACCAAGGCATCCTTTAAAATTTGGCAGAATCCCAGGGCACACCAATCAAAACTTAAAAAAAAAAAATTAAATGTTTCTCACCATCAATAGGTTACTTGATCCTTGGATGACCCACGTAACCGCTCTATTGTGGCAGAGACAGACATGGAGTTCTTGGTCCACAGTCCTCAGTCGCTCCCTATACTTGTTCTTGATGTAGGTTTGACTTGAAAAGCTCAGTTCACACAAGTACAGGTGAAACTCGAAAAATTAGAATATCGTGCAAAAGTTCATTTATTTCAGTAATGCAACTTAAAAGGTGAAACTAATATATGAGATAGACTCATTACATGCAAAGCAAGATAGTTCAAGCCGTGATTTGTCATAACTGTGATGATTATGGCTTACAACTCATGAAACCCCAAATCCACAATCTCAGAAAATTAGAATATTGTGAAAAGGTGCAACATTATAGGCTCAAAGTGTCCCACTCTAATCAGCTAATTAAGCCATAACATCTGCAAAGGGTTCCTGAGCCTTTAAATGGTCTCTCAGTCTGGTTCAGTAGGAATCACAATCATGGGAAAGACTGCTGACCTGACAGTTGTGCAGAAAACCATCATTGACACCCTCCATAAGGAGGGAAAGCCTCAAAAGGTAATTGCAAAAGAAGTTGGATGTTCCCAAAGTGCTGTATCAAAGCACATTAATAGAAAGTTATGTGGAAGGGAAAAGTGTGGAATAAAAAGGTGCACAAGCAGCAGGGATGACCGCAGCCTGAAGAGGATTGTCAGGAAAAGGCCATTCAAAAGTGTTGGGGACTTTCACAAGGAGTGGACTGAGGCTGGAGTCAGTGCATCAAGAGCCACCACACACAGACGGATCCTGGACATGGGCTTGAAATGTCGTATTCCTCTTGTCAAGCCGCTCCTGAACAACAAACAACATCAGAAGCGTCTTACCTGGGCTAAAGAAAAACAGACCTGGTCTGTTGCTCAGTGGTCAGAAGTCCTCTTTTCTGATGAGAGCAACTTTTGCATCTCATTTGGAAACCAAGGACCTAGAGTATGGAGGAAGAATGGAGAGGCACACACTGCAAGATGCTTGAAGTCCAGTGTGAAGTTTCCACAGTCTGTGTTGATTTGGGGAGCCATGTCATCTGCTGGTGTTGGTCCACTGTGCTTCATTAAGTCCAACTGTGTACCACGAGATTTTGGAGCACTTCATGCTTCCTTCTGCAGACCAGCTTTATGGGGATGCTGACTTCATTTTCCAGCAGGACTTGACACCTGCCCACACTGCCAAAAGCACCAAAACCTGGTTCAATGACTGTGGGATTACTGTGGTTGATTGGCCAGCAAACTCACCTGACCGGAACCACATAGAGAATCTATGGGGCATTGCCAAGAGAAAGATGATGAGAGACATGAGACCGAACAATGCAGAAGCGCTGAAGGCCGCTATTGAAGCATCCTGGTCTTCCATAACACCTCAGCAGTGCCACAGGCTGATAGCTTCCATGCCACGCCGCATTGAGGCAGTAATTGCTGCAAAAGGGGCCCAAACCAAGTACTGAGTACATATGCATGCTTATATTTTTCAGAGGTCTGATATTGTTCTATGTACAATCCTTGTTTTATTGATTGCATGTAATATTCTAATTTTCTGAGATTGTGGATTTGGGGTTTTCATGAGCTGTAAGCCATAATCCTCACAATTATGACAAATCACGGCTTGAACTATCTTGCTTTGCATGTAATGAGTCTATCTCATATATTAGTTTCACCTTTTAAGTTGCATTACTGAAATAAATGAACTTTTGCACGATATTCTAATTTTTCGAGTTTCACCTGTACATCGTAGAGAAGTGTAGCAGAATTTCAATGGCGGTGCTTGAAACTACTGAGTACTCGCTCTCCAACGATATCCAAAACCTATCCATTTTTTTATTTTTAATGTGTGATCCTCCCTGATCTCTGCCAGTTGCTCTTGTGCCACAGTGAAAAGTTTTCAGTGCACATGAACTCCAAGGGTTAAGGACCCAGTCAAAATCTGCAAAAGCTTCCAATGGACAATAGTGACTAAAACTTCCGTTCAGCATTTTTAGGTGCTGAGAGATAAGATCAGAAATTGCTCTACCATTTGAATGTGTATTGCACGCGGAAACATCTCAAGACAGACAGTGGAACCTTTGCTGCTTGTGGGCCTAGCATTTTGTTGACAATTGCTATGCATACTGGCAAAATGACTGTTTCTGCAATTGTGTGTGCCTTCTTGGCCTTAGCTACTATCTTGGCCACTAGATAACTAGCCTCCAAGGCTTTCTCTGACACTCTGAATATTCGAGAGAGAGAATTAATATTCAGAGTGTCAGAGAAAGCCTTGGAGGCAGTTATCTAGTGGCCGAGATAGTAGCTAAGGCCAAGAAGCCACACACAATTGTGGAAACAGTCAGTTTGCCAGTATGCATAGCAATTGTCAACAAAATGCTAGGCCCACAAGCCGCAAAAGAAATTGCATAAGTTCCGGTGTCTGTATGCACGATTGGAAGGCGAGTCATGTCTGCAGATATTGAAGATCTGATTTTTGGAAAAATCACATCTACTAGGAAATTTTCCTGACAAGTTGATGAATCCACTGACATAAGTGGGCATACTCAGCTATTGGCAAATGTTCAATTCATAGATGAAGATAATATCAGAGTCTTTTTTTTTTTCTTTTGCAAACTGCTAACAAGTGGAGAGGAGATTTATCGTGTGACGACTGAGTATCTTGAACGGGGCGATTTAAGCTGGAAGATCAAATCTGCAATCACTATGGCTGCTATTATCACAAACAGTTTGTACCTCCCAGAGCTCATATGCAGCAATGAAAAGCCTTCTCCCTGTCTTTTTTTTCTACCCTCTCACATGCCAGCATGCCTCCCCAGCTGCTGACAGAAGAACGCCATCCACAGACAGAGCAGACCGCTAGCTGCGGGCAATCCCAGAAAGCCACATGGGACGGCCCTCGGTTGGATGAGGTCATCGGCTGGCAGGGCACGGGGGAGTTGCTCGCAGGGCTTCCATGCATGCACTTTTTACTCAGCAAACCGGAACCACTGTAAAGAAAATGCAGTACTGGTAGCGAGAACAATCTATTTTGCATGTATTGTGTAATTTGCCAATTTTCCTGAGGCATCCCTGGGAACCCTGATTGAGAAAGCTGTTTTAGACTATTGTATTCTTTAATACTACAGGTGTCCTTAAAAATTCTTAACCACTGTCCTAACTCAGTTTTGAAAGGACACTCAGTACTTAAATGGTTATATGTCCCAAGTGCTATTTTATAAAAACACTGGGACACAGTGGCTCTGGTGGGTGCTACCTGGGTTTGGTCCTGGAACCACCAGATGTCAGTGACAGCTGAGGCCCAGCATTAAACGATACTAAAGCTTCCACTTTATTTTTATTTTATTTTTGGTACTTAAAAAAAAATAAACATGTTCTATTTACCTGCTTTGTGCACTGGTATTGTACAGAGCAGCCCTGATCCTCCTCTTCTCAGGTCCCCCTGCCGGCACTCTTGGCTCCACCTCTTCAGCAAGTGCCCCTATAGAAAGTTCAGGTAAGTATAAGGGGAGTGAGGGGGATCCTCTGGCACAGGAGGTTTTTTACCTTAACTCATAGAATTCATTAAGCTAAAAAACATCAGCCTTTACAACCACTTAAATGTTCACCTCCTGGTCTTCTGATCCTGCTACAGAATGCTCCCTAGCAAGCAATGTAAACAAAATGCTTTTGCTTTCTTTCTGTTTAGACAGCAGGTGAAGTGATGTCATAAATCTGTTGCAGCTCTGTATTACCTCTCCCTGCAGCAGTAGAGTACTCCTGTGGTGATCTACTGCTGGTTGGTTGCATCCAGCAATAGATCACGGTGGAAGTGACTAGTTGGTACAGATGGAGTGGGCGCATGATCAGGTCTCTATTGCAGGAAAAGTTTGAATAACAAATATTATGAGGCTTGATTAGCCTAGAAGAAATTGCAAAAAGTAGTTTGTAATATGTGAGTCAATATAAGGTCTGTTTTTCTATTTATACAATATATACAGCTGGTAAATGGAAAATTCTGCTTATATCATGTCTTCAAGAATACTAATTTGGCATAAAAACCATATTGTAATATATATGTTAATTAAAAAAATTATAACAATCTGTAACATGGGATACGCAGGCAGATATTTATTGTTCTGATGCTGTTTAACTGACCTCCTCCAGCAGGGGAGCACAAGATTTCCAAAAACTTTTGTTTTTCTGGTTTAGACAGTGATATATAAGTGTTTTGTGGTAGACATCATTACAGACATAATATGGCATAAGGAGTATACTGTGCTCTCTTAGTAAATGGTGAAAGCTAGGTATTTGAATAGTTATAATGTATGAAGTGTGGCATGAAGCACCCATTCTTTACTGTAGCATCAATTCATTAACATGCATTATTAAATTGTGGTGATCATTTTTTTTAATTCACTAAAGGTTTTGTCATGCAGATTAGTTAAATTTGCTGCATGTATGGTATATTATCAATGCCTGTGGGATTTAACATGTAAAAGTCAATTTAAAAAGATTAACACAGGAGAAATACTGCTACCTTCTTACTGATAAAATTGTGACCTTGTGTGAGGTGTCTAAAGAAAATTGATCCATTTGTGGTGGTGATAAAGTAATGAAAACTTTAAAATAGATAAATCTCCATTTCATGCTAAAAAAATACATACAGCATTCATAATCTTGCAATACATTTGTAAATTGAACATTAAGGTAAGAAAATATCATGAGATTTAGTACTGAATCAACTTGAAGGGAAAAAAAGCGAACAAAAGGAGGTGGTTGATTTACTAATTTGAATAACCTGTAACTTGTAATAACCTGTAATCGTCTCTTTTGACTGTACTATCTGATTGTGGTGGGTTTTTCCCCCTCAAAAAGTAACCAAAAAATTACCAATTGTGTCTTTATAAGGTCGTAGAAATCTTAGATTGATAATGGAGTATTTGCCATACGGAAGTCTAAGGGACTATTTACAAAAGCACAAAGAGAGACTGGATATCAAGAAACTTCTTCAATATGCCACACAAATATGCAAGGTAGGATTGACATTAAACTGTATGTTTGGTTTACTGTGTATAAGCAATAGCCAGGCATAGTAACTGAAGGTACCTGTACTGAGAGATCTTAAATATACCAGTATGGATACAAGTTGTTTGGTAGTCTGTAGTGGCAGTACTTTCTGAGTCCACAGATTCAGAAGAAACATGATCATATGAAAGTCCGCAGTCTTAATCTGCATATATGGTACAGGTCAGGGCATCAGAAAATGACAGCCAGACAGCTAGCATTTTCAGCTATGACTGTTTCTATACTTTCAGTACAGGTTTCTTTTAAAATCATTAGTTAGTGAGGTGGCCTTATTTCAGCAGCATACTAGATTTCCCAAGACAAAATTACCACATTAACTGTGAAATGAGAAAAAGTTTTTTTTTCTCTTCTACACACAAATTCCTTCTTCAGTTCTTGTTCAGCGTGGATCTCCTACGCAGTTTTTGCTATTATTCTTACACCTGCTTTTTTGTTTTTTTTTGTTTTTTTAATTTTGGGTAAGTTTACATTTTTGTCTGACAATGACCATTTCCACCGCTCCCAATCTGTCTTCTCTCCCTTCCTTTTGCAACATATGCTGTTGTTACAAGCCCGCTTCAGGTTGTCAGAACAAGCATTAAAAAATATTCCCAGAAAAGGTAGTCAAGACAATGCATTTTTATGACCACTGACTGATCAATTCATAAACTGCACACACTTTCTTAATTGCATAGGATAACATCTCCAAGCCTGAAGTAACTAGGTTCTCAAACTTCAAGTTGAACATTTTGTTCTGGCTGCAGCATCTTTGTATCTTGCCAAGAAGAGGAACAGCCAGCGGTGGTATGTGTATGGTCTTGTGTAACACATACCATGTAGTCATAATAGGGTTATAGAGATTACAAGTGAAGGGTGCCCATGTCGGCATTGGTAGGGGACAGAATAATGTCCCATTCTATAAGAACTACTTTTTCTGCATTGCTTTGTTTAGATGAACAGCTATGTAGTTGGTGTAGTCTGGCAGTTGTTGAACCTTTTTTTTTTTTTTTTACAGGGTATGGAGTATCTTACAATTAAGCGGTATATACATAGAGACTTGGCAACTAGAAACATTTTAGTTGAAAATGAAAACAGAGTAAAGATTGGTGATTTTGGATTGACAAAAGTATTACCACAAGACAAGGAATACTACAAGGTCAAAGAGCCTGGTGAAAGCCCTATTTTTTGGTAGGTAAAACTGGCAGTTCTATTTTTTAGACAATTGTGTTTTTTTCATTGAATTATATTGTTTATATAGCTGAGGACTGAATGTGAGTAATGACAAGTATAACTGAAATAAATGTACTGTAGTATAATTTGGCCCAAGGGCTTTGTATTGGAGACAAATGGGTGAGAAAAATGGTGTCTAATTCCTCCAGTGCAAGACAAATTCACAAACCGTCTGCTCACCTGCCTGTGATCGGGATACTGAGTAATGTATATCCCAGCTCCCCTGTACTCCATTATAGTGATATGACATGTATACTGTAATGTATATCCCAGCTCCCCTGTACTACATTATAGTGATATGACATGTATACCGTAATCATTACTGTATACATGTCATATCACTATAATGGAGTACAGGGGAGCTGGGATATACATTACTGTATATAGTTTTATATTTTAGACTCTTTATTCTACAGAAAAATGTAATTTCATAAGTTTTAAGGGGCCGTGGTTGGGGGCAGGGCTGGAGGAGGGGTTGGAGGCGGGCCTGGGCAGGGTTGGGTGGGGCAACTGGTGGAGAGTAAGGTTTGTGCCTGGCTAGTAGGTCTAGACTCAAAATTTTAAGCCGTGTACTATGGGACATATTAATCAAGCATTGAATTTGGCATCCACCAAACATTCACTGCAGGTGAACCTTCCAGGAGTATGTGTTTTAAATGACAGTGCATTGATTCACCACCAGTGAATGTTTGGGTAAAGTCACATTCAGCACTTTGTAAATCTGCCCCTATGTCTCTTTAGCAGTTAAAGCTTATCTTTCTGCTTGCAAACTACTTTAGCCACTGTGCAGCTCGGTGTACATTCTTAGTATATCTTTATGCCAGGATTAATTAACTTCCCTGCATGATAGTGACATTATTGTGGGCCTGTCAATCAAGGCGGCTGAAGATGCAGAACCTTGAAGAAGACCAGTTGGAGATGTTGGTGCTGAAAGGGAGCTTACGGACCTCATTTAGCTGGAGGGGTACCTAAGTATAGGTGGCTTTAGTTTGTCATGTATATTCTTGGTATACCTTTATGCCAGGATTAATTAACTTCCCTGCATGGGAGTGACCTTATCGTGGGCCCGTCGGTCAAGGCGGCGGAAGATGCAGAACCCAGAAGAAGACCAGGTGAAGATGTTGGTGCTGAAAGGGATATTACGAATCTCACTTAGCTGGAGGGTATATAAGTATAGGTGGCTTTAGTTTGTCATTCTTGGTAGTTCTAATTTTCTTCCACTGATAGGAGTTACAGTAAGTCATTAATAGGATGTTATAATCGCTTCTCGGCCTTTTGGCTAAGATCAAGTGTAGTATCTGTTCTTATCAGTGTCCGGTGGGGGTGCTCCCGGCCATTCTAGCTTTGCGGGGATGGCTGTTGTATAGTACCCTCACTGGTATGATGGGGGTCCGGACGGCTAGTACCGGGGGGACAGAAAGCGTGGCGCCCACGAGTAGTAGCTGGGGCCCGTGAGTAATTCCCCCGAGGAGACCAGAAGGACCCAGTACCTCCTGATTTGGACAGATCTACCTTGTCTGGCCAGGGGCTGGGAAGGCAGAAAGTTCGCAAACTCAGTGCCCCCTGAGTAGACGCCCTCAGGGGTGCCACTAGTAACACCTGGGTGTGGGACCCCACTGTGTGAAGATGGCACAAGGTCACTGTTTTTACACTCTTTTTGCACAGCGCCCTTAGGACCAGGCCTTTTGGCTAGGACCAGGGCAATTTTTGCTACAGGCCTCAGGGCCTGGTCTGTGCACAATTTGGCACGGTACCACTTTTTTATTTTCTATTTATTTATTTATTTAATTTAATCACTCCCACGTTTTGTCACTTTTTCTTGCTTTTGTGTGTGTTTTTTTCACAGGATGGAGGGTGTGGGTCCTCGGGCCTTTCCTGAAGTCTAGGGGGAGGATGTGTGGCCTTTTGGTTCCTTCCTCCCCTGATCCCTAGGGGGTTTTCTCTTCGGGAGAGCCCCCTGACCAAGAACTGGGTGTCCGGCTTCGGCTGGACACAAGGAACGGTGGTCCACCAGGCCTTTTGGCCAGGAGGACCAAATGGGAACCTTGTCCCTGTCAGGAGCTTCGTGCCCCGGGGGATCAGGGTAGTGGTCCAGCCCCTTTAGGGGTAGGACAAAAGCACACCCCTAAGTGCACTTTTTCGTGTGGTGTTCGCACTTGCACTTTTTTTGTGATCACTTACGGGTTTTTCGTTCTAGTTTGCACGTTTGCGGACTTAAAAAAAAAAAATGAATAGGATGTTACAGCTCTTTGCCTTGCTACCTTGATCTGCAAATGAATATTTACATAAATGCTATTGGTGTTTTGTTTTGTACTACCACTTGCAAATAAGAATCCAGAGCTTGGATTTAGACTCCTAGGCAAGTATTCTTTGCAGTTTTTGTTTTTTGTTTTTTTAATTACTGCAAACGGACCTTACAGGTTAAACCATTTAACAAGCTTGGTCGTTAAAAACCTTTGCGGTACAATTTATTGTTATATTGTAAAGATGAGCTGTGGCTAAAGTTAGTAAACTTTGACCATTGGGGTGTTAAACTAAAGCTAGTTTCCTCCTGCTGCAGTCTGGGTTTGATCCGATTTTCAGTGTGATTATGTAGTGCAACTTGAATGTGGTTTGCAATATTCTTTGGGGCCAAAATCATGCTGGAATCGCACCAAAGTAGTACAGGAACCTTTTCCAAAGTTATGCTTTGCTGACTTGCATCGATGTGGACAGCCATCATTAAAAACAATTTTATTTTATGCACACTCACAGGTACACGACTCAAGTCGCCTTTGAAATCACACCAGCGTGAACGGAGCCTAAATGTTTGCAAAATAATGAATTTGCCACAAACTCATCCTCAAGGAACTCATTGTTCTCTGGGTACTCTTAGAGAGGGACTCCCATTCACTCCAATATAAATTTCATTGTTAACTTAACACGGCAGCTTTTTGCTCTTATTTATTTTGATCATTAAAATATGAATGTTTTTTACACCGTCTTTTTTCTTTTCTTTCCTTTTTTTCTGTTGCCTATAAAAGAAGGTGATTAAGAGATTTTCACACATACCCAAAAATGTGATATCATGTCATGAGTAGTGTCTTCCAGAAGCTACTTTCATTCCACAGTGTAAAAATAGTCGTATTTTCTTTCCAAGTAATAATTTAAGGCTTGTCCTCATTTTGGATTTAACCTGATAAGTTTTCAGTTGAATAGTGGGTACGATGTGATTCTCCTGTCTAGTCATAGTTAGGTTTTCATTTAGATTACGTTTGTTATCATTGCAGGTATGCACCCGAAAGTCTCACTGAGAGCAAGTTCTCTGTGGCTTCAGATGTGTGGAGTTTCGGGGTTGTCCTCTATGAGCTCTTTACATACAGTGAAAAAAATAAGAGCCCACCTTCGGTCAGTATGCAAAAAGATTCATTTTGTTTCACAATCCAAATTCAAACTGGCATGTATTGATTGCAGTGGCTCTGCTGTGTATGCACTTCTAGCACATGGCATCATTGACTGCATCAGTGAAAAATTCTGTAAAAGCATAATGAAATCATTTTCTGCCTTTTCATGTTGACTGATTTGCCCAAGGCCACCACATTTAAGACAAGATGCGTTAGCCAAAAATATAATGTGCTGACTGAAATGTGTAATAGAGGTCAGAATGTATTGAGCAGGCAGTCACTTGGTTAAAAAGATTAAAAGCGTTGCAATTTTCAGGGGAGGACAGATGTGTTCTTTTAGCTAAGATCAAGTGTAGTATCTGTTCTTATCAGTTGTCTGGGATAGAACCCTGGCTCCCTTTGCCAATTGGGGAGTCAGTTTGTAATCCAGGATGTAATTTAGGTGGGAATGGTGAGAGTGGTGGGGGAGCCTTTTCCTGCCGGGCTGATTTTGGCCTGGTGCACAGGCTTGTCCCCAGTTGTAGGCAAGGCTCTCCCTAAGCTTTCTAAATTCTGATGCCTTTCTGATAGGGATGGGGCTGCACTGGTCTGGCCGAGGGCCGGGCTGAGAAAGAAGCCCGTGGTGTATGTGCCCCTGGAGTGGCAGTCCAGGGGTGCAGAAATTCTCATGGTGAGGGAGCTCACTTTGAGTTTTAGGCACCTTGGTCACTACACCAGTCAATTTTTTTTTTTCACAGTTGCCTTTAGGGCTGGGCCTTTTGGCCAGGACCAGAGGAATTTTTTTATTCCTGCCTTAGTACTGCACTATGGCACATGCACTTATCCACTTCCCCCTTCCCTTTTTTTTTGTATGTTTGTCACTTGCACTCAATCTTTGCATAGCACATACGCACTTTTTCGCTTGCCTTGCCCTGAAAGTCTGGGGGGGGTGTGGAAGAGTCATGTCATGGTCTTTTGGTTAAGGTCTCCTCCTCTCATGGGATCTCCCTTCTCAGGTGGACCAGTAGACCTTGCGCCCCCGGGGGGCTAGGGCCCTTTCTCTTCAGAGGAGGGCTAGATGTACACCCTGTGCACTTTTTTGTGTGCTTCACTTTAGTGTGTTCACTTTTTCTTTTTCTTTTTTTGCACTGGGTGCTAGTTTTGTGAGTCTGTTCACTACACCACGGGACTTAAAAGAAAAAAAAAAAAGATGTGTCCTACTGGTACCCCATTTGGTCCTCTTATGATTTTGCGGCCCTCAAGCAATATAAAAAGTTAAACTAAATGTTCATTAATAGTTAGGAGTTTTTACCATGTTTTTTTCATAGGACACCGCAGGTGCATTTTTGCCATGTTTTCTATTGATTTCAATTGGTACTTTTTTTTTTTTACCAAAAATGCAGCAGGCAGGATTTAAAAATAAAAATAAAAATGCACCTGACCTATAGCAACCGATCAGTGTGAAGCGTTCCATAGGCATACTTGGTTACACCTGGTTTCTCTTCCGCTTTTTTTTTTTTCACCACGAAAGCGAAAGAAAAAACGGGTCAGTGTGACACTGGCCTAAACCTGTAGTATTCTAATTTTGAAACTGAGTATTTCAGAAAACATTTACTATTTCATTTCTTAGGAAGAACATATTGTAAGCTGCAGATGTTAATTATTCAAGTGCTTTAATTATTTTTAAATGCCATAGCTACAGGACCTTAATAAACACAATATGGCCTTATATGATTTCACTTTAATTGTTTGCCCTTTTTTCTTTTCAATCTTACCTGAATTATAGTATCAGCTTAATTTTTCTATAAGTTCATTAGTTCTTTGGCACTTCCCCCTTCTGTTAGATGAAATTTTTTACAACTACTTTTGTGGAAACATACAGCAGGTAAAATCAGTATTGAACACGTCGCCATTTTTCTCAATAAATATATTTCTAAAGGTGCTATTGACATGGCATTTTCACCACATGTGAGTAGCAACCCATGCGATCCATACATACAAAGAAACCAATACAAATAAGTTCAGAAATTGTTATGTGTAATAAAATGGAATGACACAGGGAAAACTATTGAACACGCTAACTGAAATGTAATACTTCATACAAAATCCTTTGTTTGTAATGACAGCTACAAGACTCCTCCTCTATGGCGAAACTATTAGCATGCATTGCTCAGGTGTGATTTTGGCCCATTTTTCTACACAAACAGTCTTCAAATCTTGAAGGTTCCATGGGCCTCTTCTATGAACTGTGATCTTTATTTCTTTCCATAGATTTTCTATTGGATTCAAGTCAGATGATTGGCTGGGCTGTTCTTGGAGCTTTATTTTCTTTCTTTGAAACCAATTGAGAGTTTCCTTGGCTTTATGCTTGTGATTATTGTCTTGCTTAAATGTCCACCCTCATTTCATCTTCGTCGTCCTGGTAGATGGCAGCAGATTTTTATCAAGAATGTCTTGGTACATTTTTCCAGTCATCCTTCCTTCAATACAATTGTTTGCCAGTACCGTATGCTTAAAAACAGCTCCACACCATGATGTTTCCACCTCAAAACTTCACTGTTAGTATGGCGTTTTTGGGATGATGTGCAGTGCCATTTGCCCTCCAAGCATGGTGTGTATTCTGGAATCCAAAGAGTTCAATTTTGGTCTCATCTGACCAGACTATATTCTCCCAGTATTTCATAGGCTTGTCTAAATGTTGTGCAACAAACTTTAAATGAGCTTCAACATGTTTTTTCTTCAGCAATGGAGTCTTGCCTGGTGAGCATGCAATGCATAAAGGACATGGTGGATGAGTGCATTACTTATTGTTTTTTTGTTTTTAAACAATTGTACCTGCTAATTCCAGGTCTTTCCGAAGCTCTCCACAAGTGTTCCTTGGCTCTTGGACAACTCTTCTCATAATTCTTTTCACCCCTCTGTCAGAAATATAGTGAGGTGCACCGGGTTTTGGACGGTTTATGGTGAAATCATGTTCTTTCCACTTCTGGATTATGGCCCCAACAGTGCTCACTGGAATATTCAGAAGTTTAATGCCATCAGTATGTTTTGCAACAATAAGGTTGCAAAAGTCTTGAGAGAGCTCTTTGCTTTTATCCTTCATGAGATGTTTCTTGTGTGACACCTTGGTAATGTGCCACCTTTTTATAGGCCATCAGTTGAGACTGACCAGCTAATATTATTTTGCACTGACAAGGGGCAGGATTGCTTTCTAATTACTGCTAGATTTCAGCCGGTGTCTTGGCTTTCCATGCCTTTTTGCCCCTTTCTTCATGTGTTCAATACTCTTTCCCTGTGTCATTCCATTTTATCACACAACTTAATTTCTGGACTTATTTGTTTTGGTTTCTTTGTATGTTTGGATTACTTGGGTTGTTACAGTCTTGTGGTTTAAATTTCATGTCAATAACACCTTTAGAAATATATTTACCTAAAAAAAATGGTGATGTGTTCAATATTTATTTTACCCATTGGATCTTTAAAAAAATATTAATTATTTGGTCAATAACATTAAACTCTGATTCAAGTAGACAGTCAACTTTCCTATTGCTTAATGGAAAATTCTTCAGTTTAAAATGAAATTGTGCCATGAATACTTTAACCACTTTCCACCTGGTCACAGTAGATTTTCTGTTTACAAACACCACAGGGCTCTATACACAGAGTAGCGAATTGCAAAGTAGGGAGAAAAAAAACAGGCAGATGTAATGTGAAGTGTCCCAGAAAGCTGCAGGGAAATGGTGGTGGGAGGGGATTTCATAGTTTCTTCGCCGCGACGAAATGAGCCGGAAGTGGGAGCGGGTATCTTTTTTTAAAACCAAGTATCCACTCCCCCCAAAAGGTGCCAAATGTGGCAGCAGAGGGGGGAGGGCAGACAAATGGAGCTTTGCCTTTTGGGTGGAGCTCCGCTTTACGGTAGTACAGTGCTGAATAGCAAAAAATACCCGCTCATGAAGGAGGTAAAACCTTCCTGAGGTCAAGTGGTTAACATATCCAAGTACAGAAGAAAAGTAGTACAGAATAATATAACTACAATGTGGTGACAACAAGCAAGGCTTTCTAATAACTGAGGATCATCACACACTGGTGTCATGACACAAATTGATGCATTCCTACTAGTCCTATCCTATTTCTTAGAGCAGGCATGTCCAAAGTCCGGCCCGCGGGCCATTTACGGCCCGGGGGTCGGTTTAATACGGCCCTCCAACAGCCCTCCCTGCTCTGTGTAATGTGGCCCTCCCTTCTATGGCAGACAGTCTTCTGCTTGAGAGCAGAGGGCAGTGCGCATGCCTGACTGCGGCGCGTTCTCCCTGGTCTGTGTAAATGCGGCTGTCGCACGGCCCTCCCTTCTGTGGCAGACAGTCTTCTGCTTGAGAGCAGTGCGCATGCGTGACTGCGCCGCGCTGGGAGCGACAGAGGGCGGTGACGTCAGGGCCGGGCTTCCAGCGTGAAGTGTGTTTCTCTTCCCCTCCCGGCTGCTGAGCAGAGACTTCAGCTCCAGCTACCTTTTTCACCCTTCACATTAGTGCAGGTAAGTTTTTTTTAAATTTATTTTCAATACATTGTGAAAACTCAGCTGTCAGTTGATCTTAATGCTATGAAATGAAAAGTATGTCGTTTGCAATTAAATTGGCATAAAATAATTTATTTGCATTTAATTGTAATGGTTCAAAGAATGTTCGGAAAAATGTTCGGCCCTCCACCATGTTCACTTCATCCAATCTGGCCCTCTTTGAAAAAAGTTTGGACACCCCTGTCTTAGAGGGAAGGTGCACCTGCTGTAATCACAGCTCCGGTGTTGTAATAAGAGAAAAACTGTATTGAACATTTAACCAATCACAGAAGCAATAAATTATATCTGGGAGATCAAAGTCTACATTTTTTTTTCAAGGGAAATGGTGGGGTACTTTGTCCCATTACTTTTTGTTAGGTGATTATGGACCCCTTTTGTTTACCTATTTATAGTGAGGAATAATCCACTGCAGACTCCTAATGCTGTCCTAGGCTAATACTCCTAGGCTGTCTAATACAGAAATTACCGATACTATGTAGTTCTTTATAGAAATCTGACTTGAGATGTTGATTTATGATTCACAACACAAAGGAAGAATAGAAATTAAACTGTATAGTCCTCATCTGCCCATCAGACCCATCTACTCCAGATGTTAGGAGCAGTCTATAATCTGGATGAGTGGTGTTTTTGACTGCATAGTAGCAAAGTTTCTTCGACAGCTTTTAAAGTTCAGTGACTTATTGTTGAAATTATACTTTTGAATAAAATGCAGCGGAAAAGTACTATAATGTCTGTACTTTCAGTCAATTAATTACATTCACATTGTATACTGTATATGTTGACTGCAGGGAGAAGAGGCAGGCATGTTTTGTTTATGATGTAAACTAAATTTCCCTTTTCAATCAGCACACATTTTGTGGTAGCATTGCATTGTTCATTAAAAAGTCGTTTAAAATCTGACTTGCACATTTTTTTCATGTTTGCAATAAGTTTTCTTTTCCCAAATCTGATTTATTTGTAGGAGTTTATGAGGATGATTGGAAATGATAAACAGGGACAGATGATTGTATTTCACTTGATCGAGTTGCTGAAGAATGACGGGAGACTGCCACAACCAGAGGGCTGCCCTAATGAGGTATTACATATTTGCAGTGTGGAGTACTATTGTTTGGAAAAATGTTAATACTGAACTTTTGTAGGACAATGTTTGGGATGTACTGCAGCTTTTCTGTTAGGAATTAGTTCAGTGTATATACTCAGATATACTACAACACTACAGAGGCGTAGTACAACACTGCAGAGCCAAAGAAGGTTTATCTGCAGTTTTATCACATTTCAGTTTCTATCAGTGTATGGATAGAGATAATTGGATATTTATATGACTAACATGGTACAGCACTGTAATGCCATGTGATTGATCTTTTATATTATGTAACATTCCACTAAAACTCCTGTGCTTTAAAGGATAGGTTCACCTTTAGAAGCATGTTATATGTTACACCAATATTTAGGGTGTATCATGTTCCTATGCCCCCACCTCCCTCCACCAGCGCTGCCCTCTCTCTGACAGTGGACAAGAGTTCTTCTCCCCGCGCCCACTGTCACAATTTGTAAACTGCGTGGCCATGTGGGGCTCTGCTCACACAGCCACCTCTTTCATTCAGAGTTTTCTGTGAATTAATAGACTACAAGTACCATCATCCATTGCTGCTGACAGCTTGTAGTTCTTAATTAATTGCAAAGGTGCTGGTGACCACTCTTGTAGTTCATTGAATCTTCCTGCCATTCAGTAACTGCCTGCCTGTATGGGAGATACAGGTAGACAACTTACTGAGAGTCTGCAGGATCCTGGCATTACACCCCCGATCTTCTGATTACATGAAAGGTACATTCTCACAAATGCTCATTCAGAAGTCAATAAATCATAAATGGAGATTAGTAAAGCAAGACTGCCCCAAGTGGAACATTCCCCCTCCCCTCTATCACTGTTCTGGGGACTACCCAAAATTTGTGATTTTCCTTTATTTTCTCTTTCGGCAATCATGGTAAACATGACAAATAGGGCGAATCTCGCTAATGAGGGGACAGATAGCAGTAAGAAGCTAACGTGTTCTAATCCCTCTCCACTAATAAGAAAATGTTTTGTCTTTAGTTATATTTTTTAATTTATTTATTCCATAAAAAGCATTACAATCACTGCATTTCCTTTTGCATGAAGTAATTACCACATTAATACTGGACTGGAGGTTTTTTTTCCACATTAAATCTTACTTAAAGCTACTCTATAAAAAAAAAATATGGGGACTTTTGCAGTACCAAAGTTGACCTAGTTTATATCTCCTGATAATTGTGGCATACCATTTTCAAAGTAACAGCAGGTAAAATGTTGTTTTCACTGAGAAAGTAGATTTAAAAATTATAATAACATATGTAATATCAAAAAGCAGAACACACCAAGGAATCAAAAAAACTCCTAAATACATTAGTGGGTGCATACTGTAATAAAATGTTTTCTGTGCTTTTGTCTCAAATGTGCTTAGTGTTTATCCACACTCCATTTATATGTATCCACATATTTGTATTGGTGCTGTGGAATTTGTCTAGAAATGGTAATATCCTCTTAAAGGAACCACACAGTATACTTAAATTTGAAAACTTATTTTTTTCAGATCTACCAAACCATGACAGAATGCTGGAACAATACTATCAGTCTGCGTCCTTCCTTTAAAGAGCTCACTGTAAAAGTTGAAAGAATGCGGGAGTCTATGGGAGCATGAACATAGCACAATTTGCTGGGATAATGCATGGACCTTTCTGTGTTATGGCGAACAGAATGAGATACACAGTATGGCAAAGCTGTATGGCCGTACTAGCTTTTGCAGTGAGGAGTGCAAATAAGGCTTCTCCAAAATCTGCAGACCCAATTGTACTCTGGAGCAGAAAGAAAACTTTTTTTTTTTTTCTTTAATGGAGGCATCACCTTCACTTTGTATATGTTTGATAGACTGTAAACCATGGAAGCCATGGAAAATGGACAGTGCCATGTTTAGTCAGTGCAGCGAGATTGCATCTTCATCATGTTTGACGAAATTAAGATATGTTTTTGTATTTTTGTCATGAAATGCACAGAATCATTGTACAGTTGGCAACAAACTATACATTACCTTTTTTCTAAGGGCTTATGTTAATCCTAGAACATGTTCCTTGGTTGAATTTAGCTCATATTGAACCTATAGATATATGTCTTGTTTTGTACACATGGAACAGAATAAGATATTTAATGATCTTTGAAAGAACTAGAGAGATATATATATACATCACACCTATTCTTGGTGACCTAAAAATATTACCTTTTACAGCTTTGTGTCCTGCTAAAATGGCACAACACACTGGGGTCAAGCAATTGGCATTATTTTTATAGTCCTTTAAGCGCTTTTATTCGAGATTTGAGATGCCTACAGTTTTAAAATATACATTTTCTTTTAAACTCTACTGAAGGTTAGCCATGTATTCCATGGTTTCCCTTTTACACTTGTCCCATGAATTGAACACAAGTCTCTGCTTTGTGTGTCACATAGGACAGATCTTGGTGTGAAGAGAGATTCTGCCAGTCATTCTCCCGGTGGGTGGACAGTAGGGGAGGGGGAAAGATGATGTCATACAGTCAGAACTACTCTGTAAGATGATTAACAGTCATATGGGGCAGCTTGGGGAGAAAACTAGGAAGTGAAAACTTCCCTCAAGGCACATGGCAGAGCATGCACACTGCAAGTGGCAATGCAGCAACCAGAGGAGAGGAAGGTCCCATGGGAAAAGCTGTATCAACCAGATATTTATTCATTATTGAAAGCTTCAACAGACATATTATATTATAAAGCACACAAAAAATTTGAGTTTAATGACACTTAAGATGAATTCCAGGTTTAGCATTTTTCTATATTGGTGCAGCTTGGACCAGTGTAAGTATTTATGTGCCATACCTGTGGGATCCCTCCGGAAGCTGGAAATTGTAGTATGTGCCGTTACTCCAGTGACCTCCGCTAGCTTCTGGGTCTCATTCCAAGTGACTTCTCTGCTGCTTTGTGAACACAGTATGTTGCTTGCTCAGCACAGGCAGCATCCAGATAATACTTTGCATTTGTATGAAGTCAAAATTGAAAAGAAAGAGCCCCTTGTTCAATAATATATTATCCAAATGTACATGTTTATGGACAGATACCTTCACTGGTATGAGTTGTTTTCTCTGGTGACTCTTCCAGATGAAGTGAGCACAATCACTGCTATCAGCAAGCATCAGTTGGTCAGATTGATTACATGTGACTGGCCTATATACTTTTCCTGGATCTTGTGTCATGACTATTTTGGTCTGTGCACCAAAAAAGCTTTGGGAAATCTTGTCTTCAGACACCTGCTGGTAGGTCTCTCCTTACCATGTTAATTTTCATTATAAATAAGATATCTTGTCATATAATTTAGGTATAATTGATGACTGGACACTTCTGTAAGTGCAAGGCCTTTAAGGAAAAATATAGCTTGCTATTAAGATTGGCAATTTTTTTTGGCTTATCAGCATTGAAAGAAAGCAGTAGCATAATTTTAATTGCTTTAACTATTACATACCATTGTGCCTTTTGTAGGAGAAATAGCACTTAGCACAGTACACATTTTATTCTGCTTGTACCTGCAGCCATGAAACAAGAATAAATGGGCCAGTGCACTGAGGGCATATTTTCTGTTCCCTAGGCAGCATAAGACTTTGTAGATCCCTGTTCACTGGACATTCATTGTTCCTTGCATGCTAGATGAAATCCTCCATAGATAGAATGATAGGCAGAATTGTTGGGAGTCTTGAAAACAAACGGGCATTATTCTAGTTATGCAAATAGATAACCCCACGGATCTATATATGTATGTATGTATGTGTCACTATTTCTTCAGAAATGACCATATTAGGCAAGAGTATCCCACGTCACTAGATCTAACTGAATTGGTGTTCATTGAAAAGGGTAAAAATAGTTTAAGCTTTTTTTTTTGTTTGTTTTTTTTTAAAAGCTATTTGGGCAATCCCAGTTGTTAAAGAGGACTTGTATTTGTGAAAGCTGAGCTCTAAAAAAGCAGCACATAAAGTACTAATCACAAATATTGGCTGTAAGCTCTTTACAGCTGATCTTTTCCCCATTGCTGACTTTTCAGCCCTTTTTCTGCATTGTGTGTGAAGGTGGCCCTCTTTGTGGAGGAGCAGGCCATTGGTTCATCATGCTAGTGTTGCTCCTTGTTGACTGGTGGGGTCATGGTTAGGAGGCCACAGAAAGGATGTAGAAAGCACAGATACACAGAACGAAGCAGCGGAGTGCTTGCACTGCAGGTCCTTTAAATACAGCTATCTTTTTATTATATTAAGCCGACAGGAAAAAGTGAGCAGCACAGTAGTGACATCACCAAACCTCCTGAGACCAGAAGTCAGAGATCGCAGTGCCTTAAATTATATCGCACTGCAAAAAAAAATAAAAATATATATATATATATATACATATATCTTAAGGCATAGGAGTGTCTGGATGCAGTCTAATATCAGTAACTGCACTGCTGTATTTTAGAAAACATTCAGGGCAAAAAGGTAGAAGGTACTGCCTAGGCAAAATTACATTTCACAATTCTATACTCTCTTTAAACTAGCATTTATTTTTTTTTTTTTTGAAGTACAGATCCAGTTTAAATACCCCGATACTGACTAAAAGGTTGAACTCCAGGCACTTTTTAAAGTCATATTAAACTCAAAACCAAAAATTTTTATATATTTCAGCTTACTAATCATTAGATATGGTGGCTGCTTTAGTTTTCTTTTTGTAGGATTTTTCCCGTTTACAACTGGTGATCTTGCCAGTGACACACCTCCTGTATTAGAGTGCCCCCACTCTGGATGAAGGAGCACATGGGCACAACGGACAGCAGCATCGCTAATTTGGGTATTAGAGTATTAGATGTCCTAGCAGATTTAGATACACTAAGTAACTAATTTGAAGGCAAACTCAAACTCACACTGCAGCTGCACAAGCAGTTTTTGTTTCCATTTGGGATAAAGGTTTTACATAAATAAAATTGATCATTGTAAGCAACCCTGTAAGTGATAGGTTTGTCTCAACACTCCTAACTGATAAATTTGCAGGGGAGTTTGTTCTTTTGAAAAACAGTCTTACTGGCAGGATCAACAGGTAAAAATAAAGGAAAGAAAGAAAACAAATGCAGTTATCATGTCCAAAAATTGGTAAGCTGCAATATAATAAATGCTTATGTGTTTAATACTGCTTTACGAGTTGGAACAATTTTCTTTCTTCTTGTCCCCAGTGACATGGCAGGAAATAAGGGAACTCTCAAATGGCAACACAAACAGCAATAAAAGCTCTTGAAAAAAAAAAAAAAAAACCCTGTAAAAAACTATTATTTCTGCCTGTGTCCTTGTAGTAGAGGTTCCCCTCATGTTGCGTGTTGATGCCAGGTAAGTACTAGATTGTCTACCCAGTAGTGGGAATGGATTTTTTTTTTTAAGGGTTTTAGCCCTAAATGTGACCTAGCAGGGCTCTTGTTCTTTTAAACTCTGCAAACAGCTGAATAGCAGGGTTTCTAACAGCAGCACTGAAAACTACTCAAATCTAATTTTCCACTGTTCCTAATCAACTGTGCGTCAAAGCAGCCACAAACCATAAATGTTAATAGTTTTCAGTCTGCTGCCATTGTGCCTGTTTGGTTGGTCATTAACAAAGGTGTGTTTGGAAATAAAGCAATCAGTGGTGATGTTTAAAGTGGTTGTAAATCTCAGACATGAAGTAGGAACAAATCTTATCCCTCTATAGTGTGTACTTGTTTCTTTTAAGAGCATAAGTGTCATTTCTGTCTACTGCCTCATTCCTCTGCTATTAACATGGCTCTTTTCTTACAAGTTTTCCTGACACCAAGAGAAAAATGTTGACGGGGAGGGACCTCCAGCAGATTTACAGCCTCAGTCTGTTCCCATGTGCTGGGTGTATATTCCCTCCAATCTGCAGAGCTCAGTGAGGAGAGCTCTGAGAGTAGAGTGAAATTTCTCAGCTAGGGATGCCCCGAAATTTCAGTGGCCGAAAACACCCCTTTCGGCTGTCAGGCGAAATGAAAAAAAAAAAAGCACCGACACAGTTGCCGAATAAACCCCGCCCCTCACCGCCGCACGCCCGGCCGCTGCTCAGTAGTTCTGAGTCTTACCTGAGAAACCATCGAGCAATCCCGGCACTGGGCATAGAGATGAGTGAAGGAAAGTTGGCCTCCACTCATCTCTATGCCCTTTTTTAAAGCACTGGATCAATGCTTTTTTTGATGTGGGGTCTTATTGACCCCTTATCTCTCCGGAAAGAGGACCTGTCACTAATTATTTATATCATAAGGGATGCATGCATTTCTTGTGATAAGAATAAAAGTGATTACATTTTTTTTTTTAAAGGGACAGTGCAAAAAAAAAAAATAATGTTTAAAGTGCCCCCGTGCTCGCACACAGTGGTGAACGCATACGTAGGCCATGCCCACATATGTAAATGGTGTTCAAACCCCACACGTGAGGTATCTCCATGAATGTCAGAGCAAGAACAATAATTCTCGCACTAAACCTCCTCTGTAACTTTACACTGCTAACCTGTAGACATTTTTAAAGCATCACCCAAAGCATCATTTTTAAGTACCACAGTTTCACGCCATTCCACGAACGTGCGCAATTTTAAAGTATGACACGTTTGGTATCTGTTTTCTCGCC